TCAAACAAAATAACTTATGGCCCTTATTGCACATGGGTGCAAATAAATTTGAGATATCCATTCTTTTCTTGAATTTCCTTTATTCATTCTATACTGAATCTCATTTTTTCCCATGTCTTTGTAGCCCTTTTGTCCTCTATGCATATTAGAATAGTTGATTCTTTCCCCCTCCTATAGCAATTGTAGTTTAAAACAAATGTTTGAACTTTTAATGTTCAAAGAGGCCTTAAGTGCTTTAGCCCTCTTGGACTAAGAACACACCTAAGTCAAGGGCAAACTGCTAAAATGTTTGAGCATCACTGTGGTATAGTAAAACAAAACTCCTTATTTCTTTAAAAGCAAAAAGAAAGCAGATGTAAAAAGTAACATGAAGCTCTATCAAGGTATGAAATGAAGCATACAACACTTAATATTTCTATAGTCTTTAATACTGAGGCCTTATAATCTTGAACTTTAGAGCATGCAACTTCAGATGTGCAATGGATGTTGAACCCCTCAATACCATTTTGTACAATTTTTTAGTGTAGGACCTTGCTTTAATGTTAATTTCTCCATTTAACATTTTGCTAGGTTTCTTTGGGTGGGGAGCACAGTTCATAGCCTGAGTTTGTAGATGTGTGATATTCTTCAATATATAAATGGGTACAGAAGGCAACATGCAATGCTAAAATTTATTCTGACATTCAGTAGAAGCATGGACATAGGGTGGAAGTTGGTACAAGATAAAGGTTTTGAGCAATGAAATACTGGGGAAAAAATTAATATTTTGTTCAGCATCACTTAGTGCAAGCCAGACTCTGCGTATAAAGATTAGGAACGCTGGCCATGAACGAGAGATAATAGAGAATATCTGATATAGTCTAGATGCTATCATTCTCATAGGGCTTGTCTCCACTTACTGAAGGATCAACACGCTGTGCCGATTGGTCTCCTGTCAACTCCGAGAAGCGTAAGGTAAGTCGATGGGAGAGTTTCTCCTGTCGACCCAGTGCGGAGTAGACACCACAGTAAGTCAACCTAAGGTATGTCGACTCCAGCTACATTATTCACATAGCTGGAGTTGCATAACTTAGTCCTGTAGTGTAGACCTGCCCTTAGTAAATTTTGTTTGTGGATGTTAACTGAATTCTTATCCCTGAAATGTTTGTGTTATGAATTCAATTGAGGCATTTGGTTTGTATGTCTGTTAAAGGGACAACCTAAATCTGAAATTTAGTCAACTAGAGTTAAGTTAGTTTCAGGTACAACACCTATGGTTGAGTCCTCCTGCTCTTGTATGTGGGATTTGCACTTTTTCTTATTTATTAAAATGTTTAGTGTGATCTGAAGATATTTTTTCCAGTTTGGCCACCAAACTGAAAAATCAGTTATTTGCTCAGCTCTGATTGTGGTAACTATTATAAGGGTCATGGTATTGGGGTAGGAACTGGGATGTAGGGGGTGGGCTGAGCTCAGATTGAGCACTTCCCAAATCACAGCCCACATTTTGCACATATGGAAAGGGAAGATTTGAGGAGTGTCAGTTGGGGGCCAAATCACAGGGGATATGGGGAAAGTAATTAAAATCTCCATCTTTCCACTGATGGCCAGGAAGCAAATAAAGAGAATCAGATTGGATAGATAGCTTTTCACAACTGGTATAATAAAATTAGGACCTTTTGTTAAACTAGAACCAACTAGTATGGTATTTTTAATTTCCTCATTAGTGGCCTTGTGGTCAATGTTTCTCTTTTTGGTGGAATCATACCAGAAGTCTGGTGGGTCACTTACCTTTTAATTTCAAGTGCTAAAACTATTAAATAACAATAGAATTACCTAAATTAAGAGGCAGTCCTCTGGCTGACTGCCTCTATATGACTCTTATTTGATAATTTTCTAGACTTCTAAATCCCAGATAAGATTTACATGGTTTACATTCTCTGGAAAAAAACCCAAAACACTTGAATAGCAAGCTGGGGGAGAAAGGGGAGAATTAGTGTTCTTTGGAATCCTTGTAGAAACTAAGATTTGTAGTTTGTTTCTGGAAAATCCAAAGGCCTCAAAAGCCCACAGCCACAGCTGATAACACAGCTCAGATCAGGAGGCAAGAAAGGTCACCTCAGTACTCCCCTGTTCCTGGGGCAGCTCTGCACCACACCAATCCTTCAGGATAATCTAAAGCAACCTGAGTGCTACTTGATCTTGCACAAGGGATTGTGAACAGCTCAAACAGGCCAATATGTAGCTGTGGAACAGCAGGGCTTAGAGAAAAGAACAGGAGTACTTGTGGCACCTTAGAGACTAACAACTTTATTAGTCTCTAAGGTGCCACAAGTACTCCTGTTCTTTTTGCGGATACAGACTAACATGGCTGCTACTCTGAAACCTGTCATTAAGCAGGGCTTAGGCCTTAGACATGGATTCTACACCAGCCATAAAGAGATTATGACACTCTACACCCCAGGGGAGAACCCTGTAACCCTCATATTCATCATTTGTATACAGTTGTGATATTGCATAAAAAGCATGCCTTGTAATGTATCATAGGAAAGGTTATGATCTGCTGAAACCCACTGTTTCATCTAAATATGTATATCATTAATGCATATGAAGTTATGAGAATTGTGTTGTGTGATTGTCACTAAAATATGCTGTGGGTATGGGAAACACCCAGATACTAGCTCCCCAAAGACAATAACTAGAGGGATAACCAATGCCCAGGAGGGTGTCGAATAACCATCAACAGCCATTGTCCAGCAAGGGAGCTACAATTCAGTGACTCACTTGCACAAGGCTATAGCCAGGGCAAGTGCTCAACCTTGCCTGGTGACCTAGCAATGTCCTCCAGACATGCCTGGACTTATGTTCTCCAAGCACATGGACTAAGTGTATAAAACAGGACACAGTGGACCCATGCTTCATCCTTTCTCTTCTCCCCCACCTATGCTGAAGGCAACGAGGACACTGGAGCTGAAGAGACTGGTCCCTGAGCAAAGAAGAAAAAGCTTGCATATGAAAAACTGTAATCAACCTGCAATATCCAGTGGGGTGAGAAAAACTGCTGAATTTAGATGTTGCCCAGTCTAACGGTGCTGAGAGTTTAGACTGTGTGCTTATTTTATTTTATTTTATTTTGGTAACCACTCTGACTCTTTACCTATCACAGATTTTAAGTGATTATATCTTTTAAATCAATAAACTTATTCTAGAGTTTATCCTTACCAGTGAGTTTGACTGAAGTGCTTGGTAAATCTGCTCAGGTTACAAACGCTGGTGTATATCCACTTTCCATTAATGAAGTGGATTAATAAATTAATCATCAATTAATAAACTTGCATTGCTCAAGAAAGGTTCCTGAGCAGCTCAAGGTGGTATATTCCTAGGGTACAAGCCTGGGAGCTATGGGTATTTGGCTGGTGCCTTTATCTGTGTGATTCATGAGTGACTCTGGGAGCATTCATGCAAAATGCAAAGTAAGGGTTCATATTCAAGTGGAATCTGGGTATTAAGTAAGTCTTGGGCTTGAGGAGAAAAACCCTCAGGTCTGTCTACAGAAGCTGCTGTGTAGTATGCCTGCAGCCATTGCGATCTGGTATATGGGAAGTGGTTGATGTGCTCATGTGGGATTTTAACCTAGTTGGATTGCTGTTGTGTGTTGCCTCACTGGTTATGCCCCAACATTCTACATAATCATTCTGTGTCCTCCTGTGGAGAGCCCTGCAGAGTATTTCCCCATGGACAGTGGGGTGCCGAGCCTGAGGCACCTTTCTTACTGTGTCATGTCGTCAGCAGCTGGGGACACTTGTGCCATGCATATTTTTTTGTTTCCGTGGTCCTAGTAGGTCCTCATAAGTGGACACAGGATCTGGGCTTTGTTGTATAATTACATATTTATGACAATATTTTTTCTTTTATTCAAATAGGTACCGTGTGTCTATTTGAAAATGTGTGCTAAAAAGCCTGATGAAAAACATGCAGAGTACACTGATTTAGCAGCCATCTTTTGAAGCTTCCTGTCTCCACATTAGAGACTAATTATTACTTTCAGCCAAGTTCTGTTCCCAATGAAACCACTGGGAATTTTGCCATAACTAAGCAGGAGCAGGCTCTTTCAATTGTATTATCATAAACAAAATTGTATTTAAACAACAACTTTTTTTTAATTCTTTTGCCATTCTTTGATTGTACTCCAATTTAGTTTAAAAGAAAATAAAAGGGAAAATAAAGCACTCATGCTCAGAACTTTCAGGCCAATGTTTATCCCAGTTAATATTTCACAACCCTAGTTCCTGAGCTATGTTTTAGTGACTGCTGCTTTTGCACAAACCACTGTACAGTGGCAATGCTGCTCCGTAGCTGCTTATCCATCCTCTGGGCCTGGAGTAGCCTCCCTGCCCCACTGAAGAGATGCTAGTGGGGCATGGATAATGCATTCTTATAAAATTAGAGCTGGTGAAGCTGTCTTCAATTCTCCAGTGGTAGCATGTTGCATGGGCTCCCCAGATCCTGACCTAGGCTTTGCTCAGTGGTTTTGCTACAGAATTACAAAGAAGAAAGCAGGATTTGCCATCAACACAGGTGTAAAATGCCTCTTTTCATATCAGATAGAATGTTAAATATAGGTCCTTTGTAACCATCTTTGTTTTTACTCAAAACTGCTATGTGTCTGGAATTTCCAGGAGGCTTCAAAAACCTTCATTCTCCTGCTCACTGCAGACCCAGCAAAGACTTTGACTAGTGATTTTTAAAAGTAATGTTTATCTTCAAGCTAGTGAACCTACTGGATGACTATTTGTTAATTTAAAAAAATATTTTTGAAATTTTTGAAAAGTTGAATAAGTTTTTAATCCACTAGTGCATGAAAAGTTTGATCTCTCAGATCAGATTCAGAGAGTCCCTTTCACCTTACTTCCCTCTTCCATATTCTTTGCATTCACTGCTTCTAGACTTTGGGCTGAATGGTTTTTATTTCTTCACAGTGGTCACTTACAAAAGTGAAATATTTTTGTTGTTGTTTGTAGGATGGAATGGGGAATCTGAGAGTCACCAAAAAAGGAATTCGACTTGAAGGCATATCTGAATTTCTACTTCCATTGTATGTGAAAGAAATACATTCCCGAAAGGTAGGAGCTTGACATCTTTTGGGTTTATTTACAGATAATTCAAATTCATTTCTTCAGCCTGAAAATGTAGGATTTCTGCACCCTCTAAACTGGCATTCAATGCAGGCTTGCTTTGAGAATACCTTAAGAGAAAGCACTGTAGAGAACTGAAAGGCTCATAAGTGCCAAAGATGAGATTTAATCTGAGAAGTGGATATTCACTGTTATCTGAAATATTCTGTTCCTATGCTATTACTTAGAAAGTGCCATCATCCCTCATCTACGTGGGAAAACAAAATATGTACATTAATCTTCAGAAGAGGAAGCTCAGCACTGTGAATGGAACATTTGATTCTTCCAATTTGATGTGAACCCAGCACACAAGTTCTGCAAAATGCAATGAAAATAATGAACAGTTTCAGTTTCATATATACTCAGATAGCTCCACCTGAGTACCTTCTAGCTTCAGCTAGTTTAATTTTTTTCATTAGGGAAATTTATTAAAACTGGATAATGTACACTAGGATGGAGATTTTTTCAAAGCAACCCATTTGTAATATTGCTAAAAATGTAATTGTTTTATCACTTAACAGCAGGCCATTATAGAAAAAAATCGTTAAATCAAGACATTATATATTCAAAAGTTCAACGCAGCTCATTTCAACTGAGTCATGCTGGGTTGTAGCTCACCTAGATATATTAAAAATAAAAAAAATTGCAGTACTTGAATTCTATTAAGTTCTCGCTGCTATACAAATGCTATCAGAGATGAATGTTAAAATATGTTTTAGTCAATGAAGTACAGAGAATTTTAATATGCATAGTGCAAATGTTGACAGGAATGAAGAGCTATTAAAAATGTCTTTCCACTATTAAATCTCCCTCAGAAAAGTCTTTGACCTCAACAGGCAGTAGAAACAATCATGTATGCATGAAAATGTATCATGAGAACTACAGACTACAATAAGCTTAAAATCTTAATTTATAAGTGGTTCCTTGATATTTTTCCTTCATGATTATATTCTTTGTGTAGTAGAGAGAGCCTGAGAAATGGGGCCTGGTGCAAAAGTCCTGTTATGAGGCCTGACACCTGAACTAGAGTGGTAGTCAGGCCCTATAATATAAAGCAAAGCTAGCAAAAGTCAGGCTGTGAGCAGAAGTCAGACTCTGCTTGCATGCAAGCTCACAGAAACTGGCAAAAACAAGGCTGATATTGCAAAAACAGACACATTCCTAAGAAGTATGAGGCACTCAGGAAAGCACATTCCAGAAGGGTGATACCAGAACACACCGATACCAAGTATGGTACAAACACACTCTCCAAAGATGATAGGACACACTGATTCTCCCTCCACCACCCCATTTAAATATAAGGTCAGGATGAATAGAGATGTTTTGATTGAACCCATGTATAAGCTACATCTAACTAACTACATCAGAGGGGCAATATGTAACCTGTTTGTATCAGTGTATGAAGAGAGGTCTCGGAGGAAGAGTCTTTGGCCAGCCGAGGGGGGAATGGAAAGTCCCACCATTCACTGAGCTTTGTCCATTGTCACAGGCATACATGTGCTAGTGTAACTGTAGACATTAACCCGGGGAGCTAGGGCTGTGCTTTGTCAACAATAAACCTGACCGTGTGCCGTCGCTACTAAACGGGTCTGTGGTTATTGGGCGGTTCTATCAAGGTCTGCTGTGTTCGCTATCTGCACATAGCTGGGACAGCACAACTCAGAAACACAAATGCAGCCAACATCTGCCAACACCTAGTTCTTAAAAGAATCAGTTAAAGGATACAGAGCAGTTAATTGTCCATTTCATCTGTAAGACAAAAAAACTGGTGAAGATTTAGAGTCGTGAGTGTTTGCCTGCCAACTGAAATATCATGTAACACTTTATCAATCTGTGTATATGTCAAAATAGTCATTGTGTTTTGATCACTTTATTTGATAGATAATCATCTTTGACTTTTCTATTCACAATCAGTTTGTTCCCTTAAGACTTGCCTTTTGAAAAATATTCCTTATGAAAGGTTTGCTAAAAATAGGAAAAGGTAATTAATGTAACATCTATAAGCAAACCTTCAGTAACAAGGTAGCTGAATATATTTAGAAATGCAAATATCATTGCTTTGATTTAGATCATGATACAACCAAAAGATCAAGCTCACAAAAATGACCTCTATATATTTTATTAGCCATCTCTCCAAGAATAGGCATTTAAGGTCACATTCTGCCCTATAATACATGAACATGCAAGTATGGTTGGAATTTGTCCCCTCAAATAATTTTTTTCAAAGTGTCATGCTATAGAAAAGCACAAAGACCCTCTCAAAATAATCTTCCTAAGAGTCTCATGTACATCTTCGTAACTCGATGCTCCTTGATACACTAACTTAGCTTTAGCTTTTTTATTATTTCCAGAAGTAACAAAGTTAATCACTAATATTTTAAGGGTGATACTGCGGCCTAATATAGGAAATATAAGATTTGTTTTAAAAACTGCAGAATACTTAATGAACATTTTCAAATAAAGCTAAAAAAATAAACTCAAGTATTCCTAGAAGCATCCATGTCCCAACCCAGCCAATAGGAACTTTACAAATGCTGTGTTTATGGAAGTTTTGCAAATTCCCCAGACTCGATCATCCTTGTAACTACTGGATGGAAACACAGCTCCTTTCCAGTGGTCACAGAATGCCAGATTAAGTATGCCATGACAGTTCCTTCCCATGGGTGATGTCTGTGATTCTGTCTATCCCATCTGCTATGTGTGATAATCAGGCTTATAGGAATTATGTTACTGTATTTATCCACCAAGCACTTAAGCAGGTGTGACTTTGCTCACACAGGTAGAATTGGGAAAGGTATAGAGAAGGGCAATAAAACTTATTAGGATATGGAACATCTTCCATATGAATAGAGATTAAAAGGACTAGAGCTGTACATCTTAGAAAAGAGACAGCGAAGGTGGGGGGTATAATAGAGGCCTATATAATTATGAATGGTGTGGAGAACATGAATATGGAAGTGTTATTTAGTCCTTTACATAATACAAGAAGCCCTTTTCATAATACCAATGAAATTAGTAGTCAGCAAGTTTAAAACAAACATAAGGAAATACTTCTCTACACAATGCATAGTCATCCTGTGGAACTTGTTGCCAGGGGATGTTGTGAAGGCCAAAAGTATAACTGGGTCCAAAAAAAATTTAGATAAGTCTACAGGGGATAGGTCCATCAAGGGATATTAGCCAAGAGGTTCAGGGACACAATCCCATGTTCTGAGTATCCCTAAATCTCTGACTATTAGAAGGTACGTCTGAACAATGTGATGGATCACTAAATAATTGCCTGTTCTGTTCATGTCCTCTGAAGCATCTAGCACTGATTACTGTCAGAAGATAGCATAATGGTGGACCACTGAACTGACCCAGTATGGCCATTCTTATGTGAAGTTGCCCAGTTGAAATCAATGGGAGACATCCTGGCTGCATTGAAGTCAAAGGGAGTTCTACCATTAATTTCAAATGGGGCCAATGCTGCTGCTCACATAAGCAAAGTTAAGCATATGCTTAAGTCCTATGGAAGATTGATGTGCCAAGAAGACTAGATAGTCTCCCAGAGGACTACTAGGAGGAGAAATAGACAAAATATAAAATGGCGGCTGTGGGGCTGGAGGAAGGTAGGCCTGTGAGTAAGTCCTCTTAAAAATAGAAAAAGGGGGAAGAGGATAGCTGTAGCTGCATTGTTTGAAAGGGGGGTTGGGGCACCCGTTCAGTCACAGAGCCTATATTCTGGACTAGTACTTACTTAACACTCCCTAACACTGATATATAATGTAGACTGATTAGAGTCCTAAGACTGTAGTAACCATTGTGGGATGTAAAAATGTGGATGGGGGGAGGGGGAGTGAAAGATGCTTCTGGAGCTCTGCTAAAGCTGGAAATGCCTGGTGGTTTTTTAGTTCTGCTACTAGCTGCTGAAGAATATTTGCATTATTTTGGGATCTTACTGTCAGGCTGACCTTTCCCCTGGAGATGCAGAACCAGCAGGCTTGATTGTCTGGGCCACAAATATAGTAAATGCCACCATTTGAAAGTAATAAATTGGGATGTATTTTTTGATGGCAGGAAGAGAGTGAAACACAATTTAAATCTGTTGAACTACATTGTATTAGGAGAAAAAAGAATGAGGAGTACTTGTGGCACCTTAGAGACTAACAAATTTATTTGAGCATGTTGGCTTTTTTGGGGAGTCGGGTGGGGAAATAGAGACTGTTACTTCCATAGGGAGGGTTAACATGAGAGTCTCATACACTCATTTTCTTTCTGGTATGCATAGATTTCTGACCTTTTTGACAGCAACAAGTGGTTATTTACAGAGAAAATCAAATTGCCATTGTAGTAAACTAGTAAGGTTAATAAAAAGGAAAACAATAAACACATTCTCACAGCATCAACTTCCTAATGTTCTTTATAACATAGACTTTATTTGTGTTACGTTGCAGGAATCTGTTTTGAAAATGTTCCCCAACCTTAAATTTCTTAATATCTCCCATTATTGGCAATCGTTTCTGATCCTTGAAAAGTAGAAATAACTATGTGATTCATAAACAATACTTGATATTCAGACTGAGATAATATAGGTTCTGTTATTACCACTTATTTTCTTTCCTTCCTTTTGATTAACTTTCTATTTAGATGAGATAAGAAATCTTATCTGGTATTTTCCAGATTTAATAATAATCAGCTCCTATAATAAACTAACATCAAATTCAGATAGTATCCGTGTGAACAGAATATTATCTTAGGTGCTAAGTTATAGCACAAATGTAAGCAACTGATTGGACACTCATCCCAGATCCCCTAGGGGATTTATTATTTAAACTATATATGTGAATTTCTGTTTCCCCTTGAAATAGGCTTTGCACATGCAAATAAAGAAAATACTTTAAGAATACTTGTTTTTGTTTTTTTTCACCTTAGCCACCTTTTGAAAGGAGCACACCTGAAATTCTGCA